CAAAAATAGCCCCAACGTTTATTAAAATGGTCATTTTGGCTCATGTTCTTTTTTTTTTGAGCATACTCACTCTCGACATTTCACTTAGGGGGAAATTTTCCTACATAGATGAAAACTATTAGATTAACACTCGATTGTCGCTCCAAAATATGAGTCTTTTTAATCTAAAATTAAACGTTAATGGCTAAAATGCCCAAGAAAAAAAAGACTGAGGGATAAAGTGATTATTCTGTCAAATGTTAGTGACATTTTTACCCTAACATGAAACGTTGGGAGCCAAAATGCTCCAAAAAAAAATATAATAGGGGAAAATGACATATTCCTAAAATGAGAAAAAATATCATACGTGTAAAAAATAGAAAAGGATAATATCACGTTTGGTACTTGTATTTAAAAAGATATTTAATGTGATATCCTTATTTTTCAAATATTTATCGTGGTATCTACTATCTGATAGTTTTATCAATTTGACTCTTAAATATCTAAAAAATATAAAAAATGTAAAAAAATTTAAAACTATAAAAATAATTATTAAAAATTTTAAAATGTAATTTTATTTAAATGTAAAGATATAGTCCTTGATTAATTATTTTTATTTTTATCAATTCGATACCTTTCATGACAATTTGCATGATGATTTGAGTGAGAATGAGTTTATGGGGTTAGATGAATTTCCAGAAACTAGAAAATGCATGATCCTTGAAGATCTTTGAAGATTGGATTAGATATAAAATATAAATTCACAACTCACACAAAATCATTCTGAATTAAAAAATAGATACATATAATCTTATTATACTAATTATTACTGGTTTATAAACACAACTTTCTTAAACTTAATTTATGACTCTCTTTAATTTTACTTATACAACAACATATTATAATTTATTAAATCTACATCCTATTACACTAATGTAATATGAAAATTGGATCTTTGGATTTTCCGAAAGTTTAGATAGCTCTTCGATTCTTCTAGTTAAATTATAGACGACTTACGTTTTTTAATTAAGTTAAGGTGATTACAAAGTAATATATGTTTTAAATATTCTAAACTATTTAATAATAAACATTCAATCATCCTTATAATTGCTGGTGTTCGAACCCATAATAACTAAGAATAAGTCTATCATTTTTTAATACTGATTATCGAGGTAGCAGAAATAATTCGTAAATGTTCCAACCCACTGTAAGGACATATCCTTGTGAACATATTCTTTGGTCATAATTGATGCAGTATAATAAGACGCGTTGATACATTCGTAACTCTTTCACTTGACTTTTTCTTCATGTTGTGGTGAAAGAAATTAGTAAGTCTATTCAACGACAAAGAGTTGGCATCCAGTTTTTTGATGATTGATTCGACGTTTTCAAAGCTTTGTTCCGCCATTTTTATATTTTATAAATAGACAAATTAAAACTAATAATATTTTAATCAAAATTTGATTTCGTACACAACTTGAAGACAACGACCTCTTTGGCTGGCATTTCTTTACATATAGTTTATCCATGGCAAAGAAGGGTCCTGCCATTGTGTTGCCCATCAGACATAATGAGAATACTTGAGTTGAGCCGAGTTAGCCCTCCTCCTAACTCATCAAAAGCATCATCCGAATTCTCTCTTCCACTCACTTTCTCCGATGTTTTCTGGTTCAAGCTGCCTCCTGTTGAGCGTTTATTCTTTTACCGACTCAACGCCTTAACCTTCGCTTGTTTCAACTCGGATATCGTCCCCAAACTCAAGCAATCTCTTTCCCTCGCTCTCCTCCATTACCTCCCCCTCGCCGGCAACCTCAAGTGGCCATCAAACGCCCCCAAACCCAGCATTTCGTACACTCCGGGTGACGGGTTCCACTCACAGTTGCTGAATCCGATGCTGACTTTAACCTTCTTTCAAGCAATGGAGTCTACGATGCTGTTGAGTTACATCCTTTGAAACCTGATTTGATAACATCGGATGATTCGGATCAACTATTGCTTTGCAAATAACCCTTTTCCCTAACACGGGGTTTTGCGTTGGAATCGCAGCTCAGCATGCTGTTCTTGACGGGAAAACCACAACCATGTTCATCAAATCTTGGGCTTATATATGCAAGCAAGGTAATCCACAAAACTCAACTTTGCCACCCGAGCTAACCCCTGTTTTGGACAGGAGTGTTTTAAAAGATACTGGTGGACTTGACATGATATATTTGAAGAACTGGTTTGACAGTATGGGTTTAGATTCAGATACTGCTAAGAAAAGCCTGAAGATATTGCCGGACAAAGGAGAAGCTGCAAGTCTAGTTCGAGCCACGGTTGAGATTACTCGAGAAGATTTGAAGAAATTAAGAGCAAGGGTATTGTCAAAGTTACCAGATACTGGAAAAGACCTTCATTTATAAACTTTTGTGCTTAAATATGCTTATATAACGACTTGCATAGTGAGATCTAGAGGAGGAACTGGTGATAGAGACGTTGTCCTCGGATTCACAATCGATTGCAGGCCACGATTAGACCCTCCTGTCCCGGAAAACTACTGAAACTGTAACACAATTACAGCAGATATCGCCAAAGCAAGAGATTTCTTAGATGAAAACGGCTTCGTTTTCGGTGTTCAAAAGGTCAGTAGCCTGGTTAAACAAGTGAAGGAGCAGGGCGTCCTTGAAGGAATGGAAAAGAAGTTATCGTTACTTCTCGGATTTTTTGAGAGATTAGCAACAAACCCTATACAGGTTATTAGTGTTGCAGGGTCCCCGGGATTTGGAGTTTATGGTTCAGATTTCGGATGGGGCAAGCCAGTGAAGGTGGACATTGTTTCCATTGACAAGAATGAAGCTGTTTCATTGGCTGAGAGCAGAGACGGAAGCAGTGGGGTTGAGATTGGTTTGGCATTGAAAAAACATGAAATGGAGAGATTCTCTTCTTTGTTTTTAACAGAGTTTTAACAAAATGTATGCTCAAGTTCATATACATCCTTCGTTGTTGTCCTTCAAACAATGTTTTATTTCATATACATCAATAATTAATGGATTAATGTTTTTAGCATCACAAGTTTAGTTTTTTTTAATGTTTTAATTTATATTATTTTTTCCAGCTAAAATAGTTTGGGGTGAACAGAATGACAAAAGGAATAATACAAGATTTTATTATTTTTATGGCGCACTATTAATGCAAACAAAAAACATATTTTTTTATTATGACATTTTTCATTTGGAATCGAAATTAAAAAGAAAAAGAAACCATCCCTTGCCGGTTGTTGATCCGACCAGATTAGGGCTCTCCTCTCTTAATCGAAATTAAAAAGAAAAAAAAATCATCCCTTGCCGGCTGTTGATGACCAGATTAGGGCTCTCCTCTCTTTTAATTATTAGTTTCATATGATTTAATGCAAGTCAATAAATCAAATAGTTATGAATTACAAGCTATAGTATTATACATATGCGTCATGTTTAAACGCATAAGTTGCATGATTTACATATCTAATTTGAGAACCTAAAATACTTAATCTATAACCTTGAAGATGCATGATTTGACCTTAAACAAAAGTACACGAGGTTTCAAAGTGGTTTACACATGTATACATATTGAATGTTATTAACTAATTTAAATTATAGTGTTGACTTTATAGTTATATTGTACGTTCATTAAGTTTAATTGACTTCACACTCGTTATTTATCATGACTTACGATTTTAGATCCTAAAGGTACCTGGGAGTGCAGAGCGTGCAAGTAAAGCAATTCCTTATTCGTTGGATCTGGTAAATTAAATCCTTAGTGATTATGGAACTTAACAATATGTATGTTACTTATATGATAGGATATATACTTTTATTGATGATTTTAATGTGATTTTTTAACATAAACTTTGATTTTTTTTAGTGTTCGATTATATTTTATATTGATTGTATGTGGTTAAATGTTTAATGCATGATGGATATTAAGCACGATGATTAAGCAATTTTCTTAATATAAATTAAACTTTTATTGATTAAGAAATTTAAAATATAATAAAATTGATGAAAATTTTTCTAAAATAAATAATAGAAAGTTTTATGTTTAATTTACTTACAAATAATCACTAAAATATTTTATAATTCATAATAATTTGAAATCTCGTATTAACCTCATATCGAGCTATTTATTTGCGTTGGTTTTATTAAAATAGGCATATCTTGAATTTCTAACATTTGATTGAGGTATTTCATGATGTATTAAAAATATATAAGACAGAAGATCAATACGTAAAAGGATATCGTAACCACCAACAACCTATTAGTCTAGTGGGATGAGGTACTAGATTGCTTAAGTAATGTCAAGAGTTCAAACTCTTACCTCTGTACTACCCGATCTGAATTAGTCGATCGAAAGATTATATATTAATGATTAATTCAAAAAACAATAACATAACCCAGAAATACATATATCTAATCTAGAAAGTCGTCAAAAATCGACTATTATTCCAGTCGTAAAAAACAAATTCAAAATAAATTATTTAACCCCTCGTATGTTCATATCAAAGTCACATTTGAGTATTCTATTTTTTTTAACGGATATTAATCAAGTTTTTTATTTTACTATTAGAATAAAAAAAATTGAGCTGAAGTTGAATTCTAATTTAAATTTAAATAAAAATAATTAAGTCTAGACGAATTCAACGTTTTTTTCCCTCTTGAATTGAACTCAACTTATCAAATTTTGTATGTTTTGCTTCTGAAAACATTTATTTCGTTGTTTTGGGGTTCACTGTTCCTTCTAAAATTAAAATCCATGGTTAGCGAGCTTATCACTCTTACTTGTCCACTAAAATTATTAATATATAAAATATAAAAAATATCTAAAATATATACGACTTACTTTAAAAGTTTTAGAGAAGACGACAGTCCTCGTCTACTCTCCCTTCAATCCATTCCGGTTGAGAATGTTAACCGAGATGTGTGGCATTAGTTGAAGCATTATTATTATAATTACTTTGCCTTGAGGGTCTTAAAACAGCTCTTGCATTAGGTTTGCAGCAGAGTGTAATGGGAGACTATGTACTGTGTGAGTTTTCTATATTGGTGAATGCATTCATTTTCTTTTTTTAAAATGATTAACTTTGATATTACATGCAAAGTTTCCATCCCCAGCTTATTCTTTCTTAATTTATAAAATCATGATTAGAATTTTTTAATGAACCTAATTATGGTAATTAATTAAATTATTTGAAACAACAACAACATTCTTATATGAAACATTTATAGCTGGAAAATGTATTTACTTTTTGAGAAAAAGATTTTTTTAGGTTTTTTTTCAATTTTTAAATTTAATAGATAAATTAGACACTTTGAAAAAAAAACAATTTTTTGTCTTATCAATTTTAAAAAGAAATATTTAAAAAGAATCAATCATTGCTTTAGTTTTTCCTTTAGTTTTATATAATTATAATTAATAGAATAAAAAATTATTCTTTATTATTTATTTATTATATTAATTTGATCATAATTGTAAAATTTTAACACATCTGTGAATATTAAAAGATTATTTATTATAATTTTAAAATTAGGATTATAATAACACTATATATAAACATTGAATATTGGACTCCAACTATCATTTTTATTCATTTTTTTCAAAATCATATATAATGTTATTTTTTGGTTTCGTATGATCACCCGTCGTTAAAAAAATTAATGGAATGTGATATATTTTAAAAAAATCAATGATGATGTTGAATTACATTATGGTGATACATCAGTATTACTATTAATTTTTTAATGGTGGATGAATAAAATAAAATCAAAGTTTAACATTAAGTATAATTTTAAAATAAAAACAAATAGTTATATAGTCAAAATAAAATAAAAGAGATAATTAGCATCAATTTAAAATGAAGTGATTTTATACCGTTATTTTCAGAAAATTCTTGAGAAGAGTGTACTAATTTTAGAATAAAAAGTAGTCCACAAAAGAATTAAAATAGAGAGGGAGAGAGAGATACATTTCCTATTTAAAGGCTTCTCCTTTCTTTTAACCTTCAAATTTAGTCTCAAGCGAAGAAAAAAAGCTTCAATTTTCCTCCTTCAAATGGCCAATCATTAACCATTCAATTTTCTCAAATACCCAAACTTCTAACCACCGCAATGGCCGCCTCCGTTGCTGTCGCGAGCAAGAAAGACTCCAACGGTGGTCAAGGTCTTATCCTAGGACGCTACGAGCTCGGAAAATTCCTCGGCCAAGGTGCTTTTGCTAAAGTTTACCAAGCCTGCAACGTTAAATCCGGTCAAAGCGTTGCTATCAAAGTACTCGACAAGGAGAAAATCCTCAAGGGTGGCATGATCGCTCACATCAAGCGCGAAATCTCCATCCTCCGCCGTGTTCGCCACCCCAACATCGTGCAACTCTTTGAAGTCATGGCCACCAAATCCAAGATTTACTTCGTTATGGAATACGTGCGTGGCGGTGAACTGTTCAACAAAGTTTCCAAAGGCCGGTTAAAAGAATCCGTCGCCAGAAAATACTTCCAGCAATTAATCTCCGCCGTTAATTTCTGCCACGCCCGCGGCGTTTACCACCGCGACTTGAAGCCCGAGAATCTCCTCCTCGACAATAACGGCGACTTGAAAGTCTCTGATTTCGGGTTGAGCGCCGTTTCGGATCAGATCCGACAAGACGGTTTGTTTCACACATTTTGCGGCACCCCCGCTTACGTGGCGCCGGAAGTTCTCGGCCGGAAAGGATATGATGCGGCCAAAGTCGATATCTGGTCTTGCGGGGTAATTTTGTTTGTTTTAATGGCGGGTTATTTACCATTCAACGATCAAAACGTAATGGCCATGTACAAGAAAATTTACAGAGGTGAGTTCAGGTGTCCGAGATGGTTTTCATCTGAGTTAGTTCGGTTACTCACGAAACTTCTTGATACCCACCCGGAAACCCGAATAACAATCCCAGAAATCATGGAGAACCGTTGGTTTAAAAAGGGATTTAAACATATTAAATTCTACATTGAAGACGATAAAGTTTGCAATGTTGAAGAGGTCGATGATGATGTGGGATCATATTCAACGGACCATTCATCAATGTCCGAGTCAGAAACCGAGGTGGAAACTAGGATGAGAGTCGGTCCATTGCCGAGGCCAGCGAGTTTGAACGCATTCGACATTATTTCATTTTCTCCTGGTTTCAATTTATCTGGGTTGTTTGAGGAAGGAGGTGAAGGTTCAAGGGTCGTGTCCGGTGCACCGGTTTCGAAGATTATATCCAAATTGGAAGAAATAGCAAAGGTGGTTTGTTTTACAGTAAGGAAAAAGGATTGTAGATTGAGCTTAGCTGGTTCAAGAGAAGGTGTAAAAGGGCCATTGACGATTGCAGCTGAGATATTCGAGCTAACGCCGTCGTTGGTTGTTGTCGAAATAAAGAAGAAAGGTGGCGACCGAGGCGAGTTCGAGGAGTTATACATTAGGGAACTAAAACCCGGGTTAGAGAATTTGATGGCGGAGGACTCGGTATCATCTGCCACCGCCGCCTCCGCTACAGATGATTCATGTTTACCTCCGGATTCGGAATAGAGAGAAGGATAAACTTTTCTCTTTGTTTGTATCATAAAGAAGAAAAAAAAAACAGATACTCTTTTTTGTTTCCTTTAGGTGACTGAATATATGTGTATGATCTTTCTTTGCATGGAGAAGGATAGATTTGATTATAAATTTCTGTTGATCTTGGCAATTTGATTTGTGGGTTGCTTGTATATTCCAACTTTGCTCATAAATGAATTGATTTATTTATAAATGGGTAAATTATGCAAATAGTTCTCTATGTTTTCGGTATGACCGACTTAAGTCACTAATTTAAAATTAAGGGAAAATGATCCCTAACGTTATCGATCCGTTTGATTTTAGTCCATAATATTATCGATTCTTTTGATTTTAGACCCTCAACCATTTTAGGAGCTTAAACAAAAGGGGTTAATAGAAATTAATAGCAGAGGGACTTAAATTGAACAGACCGATAATGTGAGGCACTATTTACCCTTAGTTTTTAAATGGGTGACCATAGTCGATCAAACCCTAAATAAAAGGGACTATTCGCATAATTCACCCTTTACAAATTTGATTGCTTAGTATTTCCAACTTTGATATCGTAGATGGACACAAAATTTTATGTTAAAGAATGAATTTTAAGGATTGAAAATAGATTTTTAATCAAAAATAAATTAAAAATCTAAAATATATTATAATTTTAAAATTTCAAGAGGAATAGCTACCCATCAACCTCTTCGCTCCATCCCTGGCAATGATTGTGGTCACTCTAAGAATTGCATCTCATGTCTCATCTGCTGTTATTTGCATTGAACGTTTGCTTGAAATAACATACGTTGACATAGGGATAGAAGGGGTTTCATATAGAAGGTTGTATTTAAAAAGTTCTAATTTTATTTATATTTTTATGGATAATTTATTTTTAAAATATTATAAATTTATTCTTTAACATATATTTTCATGTACGTTCTATTTATACAATCTCGGCTGTTGCATTTCATGCCAAATTACTCAAACGTAGATAAGGACTGCCATTAGCACTGAAACAGATTTTACTTAAACATCAGATTAATCAGTTCGCAGATTCTATATGGATTGGTCCAATGGATTGCATTGGTACGAGGCAATCAAACAGTTTGGATTGTAGATCTTGTGTTTTTCGTGCTTTTGATTGCAGATGTGTTTTTCGTCCTTTATTATATTAATTAAATCATTTGATTTTGAAAATTATCCAAAATCATTTGATTGTCGGATTCTGGATTTGCAACATGCAGGGGCGACCATCTTGGCCAGTGGATTCTTGGTTTCTCAAAATCTTTGGGTTGCTGCTCGATTCTTGATGTAGAGTTGTGGGGTGTTTAGTTGATATCTTGGGATGCAAACGTGAGAGAGCATATTGTCGAGACGGAGGTTTTTTTTATTATTAATTTGGGGTGACTGCAAGGTAGTATATGTTCAAAGATAGCTCTCATTCATTTGATATTGAATGTTTGTACCCTGGCATTGCTGGTACTAGAATCCGATACCTCAAAAAATAACAACAATTCTTTTACTACTGAAATCACTAGGGTTCGTGCGAGACGAAGGTTTTAGCTGTTCTAGAAAAGGATGGAGTTTAATCCCTCACATCTATGATCTTATTGGAAGAGGATGGAGTTTATCTTTCAGACATGTATTGCGTGAAGGTTGCAGATAGTTTAGCCAAGTTGGCTTGGACCTCATCTTTTGGCCTTCAGATTCTGTCGCAGTTGACATTCTGCAAAGGGATAATCCACCTTCTCATGCAGCTGATGGAAGGAACTGGTGTTATTAGTAATTCTTTTTACTGTTTTTCACTCTTTGATTAAAAAAACGATCCAAAAGAGATTAAAGGTTTAAAACTCCTTTCCACTATTTTAAACAAATTAATTAAGCCTACAAATTAGAAATTTTACCAACCTAGCCCTTTGACAGATGGTTTTCATAATTGGTAGTTAATTGTATTGATATAGCAATTAATTTGTGAAAGATGACATGGTAGAAGGATTTGTTTAATATTTTTAAAAAGTTTAATGATTTGGTTGATTTTTAAATTTTTTTAATAGTTTATTTAATTCTTAAGAAAAAATCATTTAAAATTTTAAATGAATCAAAATTATTCAAAATTTTAAATGAATAAAGTGTCACAGCATATGGCCAAGGTATAGGTGGTATCCACCAGCCCTCAATTGGAGGTTTATTATATAAGTTGCAAACCATCTTCAACATTCAAATTTATCGTACAAAAATATTTTTGAAACCCCTTTTGATATAATACATCTTGATTATTTACAACAATTACACGTTGAATGAAGTAAGACATGTCTATAAGGTTGACAACCATAATTGTACAATAAAATATTGTGAATATGAATTCTCTACTAAAAGCCTACAGAAGGCCCTACAAACAAAATGAAGATGGAACAACTCAGAAGAATAATGTTTAGCTATATATTCATGATCTCTGTCTGATAAATGATAAGATTAACGCATTACGTAAAAGAGCTCTCCTTTCAAAGACGTACGAGGAGGAAGATGAAAAACATTTGGTAACCCCTAAATATATGACTCTTCCATATTAGTTTTAAGGCTTAAATATATAAAAGGTGCCCAACGTATGCCAGTTTTTCCAGTTTAGTGCCTAACGTTTTTTTGTTTCAGTTTGATGTCTAACGTTTCATTCCGTTACTCAAAATAGGTCACGCCGTGACGGACTGTTAGTTTTCTCCGTTAAGTGACACATGTCACAATCTGGTAATTTTAAAAAAATTATTTAAAATTAAAAAAATAAAATTATATATTTTTTTAAAAAAAAAATACAAATTTTGAAATAACCCCAAAACTTTAAAAACCTTCATCTCAACCCATTAACCTTTAACCGTTCGACCGCCCCTATTCCAAGCTCGTCTGCTCGGCGACGGTGGCTTACCAAACCGGTTGGGTTTTGGTCAGACAGGATTGGCAAGCTCAGCTACGGTGGCGGTGAGGCGGAAAGGTGACGGTTTCGGTCGGAAATCGCAAAAATCGAACGGTAATGGGGGCTTTTCGTCGGACTTTCAAATGCCACTCCACCACGAACGGCGGCGACTCGAGGCGAGTTGATGATTGGGCTATGACCGATCTGGGACATCGCTTCCACTGGGCTAGGCGGTGATGACTCCCGACGAGCGGTGGGCGAGGTTGGAGGTGGGCGATCGAATGGTTTCCTTGCGATTAAGCTCGACGGTGACTGATTTCGGGTGATCTGAGGGTCGGGTTGAGGTCGCCGTGTAACATCCTCAATACCGGGTTAGTGATCAAATTGTAAAGTTTCATAATTTGATGACTAAAATAGAAGAATGAAATAGCTCTATGATTATTAGATGCATATGATGAAGGTTATTTTGTAATTGTTAAAGGAAATAAAGGGTAAAATGGTCATTTGATCATTTAAGGAATTATATACACGTGGGAAGAGAGCTATCTGGAAGCTTTCTTCTTCTTGCCTTCTCTTCTTCACGTGGGGCTAGCTTCAAAAGGTAAGTTCTTTGTTTGTAAATGAATTGTTGATTTTAAGGTTGGGTTTTGATTATTAGATGATAACTAAGCTTAAGGAAAGCTTAAATCATCTTAAAAACAAATGATGGAGAGGTTAAGAGAGATTAAAGATTTGGAGTTTTTATATGAAATTTTGGAAAGGAATTGATAAGTAGAATTTGAAGTTAAATTTGACTTGTCAATGGTTAAATTAAGAGATTTGGAGTGTTAGAATTGGAATTAGAACACATTGAAAATTTGGTATGATTTTTGAATCTCATATGGAAGATAGGATTTTGAGGTTTAAGATGAAATAAATGAATATAGATTGGTTTAAGTATGTATACTAGAGTTAAGAATGAAAAGGGGATGATATATGAAGGGTTTGAGTGGAAATGAAGTAATTTTTGGGTTGAAAATATGATTTCTGGGCAAGGGGAATCGGTACCCATTCAAGGGGAACCGATACCCCTTCAAACGACAGAATTCTAGAATGTCTTGAGGGAATCGATACCCCCATGGTAGGGAACCGATTCCCCCTAAAGAAAAATGTTAATATTGGTTTAATAAGTTCGTTTAAGTTGCTAGTATTCAATTACAAGGTGTAGGTATCTAATGATTACCTCGAAATGTACATTTATGTAGATTCTACGCATAAAGAATTCCGGAACGTTTGGCAAGTAAGATCGATCAAGGGGAAAGATAAGATTGGAATTGACTAGTGAGGCCAGGTGAGTGCATATTAATTAGTTTATGGTGCTAAATGGAAACAAGACTTGCGACAAGTCTATTTCCTCTGTTAGAATGCATGAATATGATTATACGTATATGAATGACATGAATATATGTATGCATGATTATATGTGTTAACATGCTTTTGAATGTAATGTTATGAGAAGTATGTGCTATGTAATGTATATATATGAACATATGTGAAACTGAACTATGTGACTACAAGTATATGTTATGAGATAAGATCTATGTGATTGCATGCAACATATGATATTAGATATATGTTTACACGTACATGTGATACGTGACTGAAAAGAAAAGATATGTGGTTATAAGAGAAAGAATATGAATAAGTAATGTGAACTGTTATAAATGATAATGCCCATGTTATGTGATATGAGAGCTAGGGGTATAGTTGGCATGCCAAGGGTCGAGGGTTACCTATGTTCTTCGGAACATATGGACTGTTTACCTATGTTCTTCGGAACATATGGACTGTTTACCTATGTTCTTCGGAACATATGGACTGTTTACCTATGTCCTTCGGGACATATGGACTGATTACCTAGGTTCTTCGGAATCTATGGACTGGTCCTTCGGGACATTGATCGAGCTGTGGTGACAGCATATGTGTGCACAACCTCAATGTACTCACATACCTTAAGTTCTCACTAGTGTACATGGGCTAATAAAGTGATTAAACAAGCATACTGAATGTGATATGTATACGATGGGGTTATAAGTGGTTTGAAATGTGTTACGTGAACCATATGATGTTGTGTGTGTATAGTGTTTGATTGAAAAGGTTAACAATAAAAGTA